GTGCGGTGTCATGATCATGGCTTACTGTGGCTTGACCTCCCTGGCGCAAAGATCCTCCCACCTTAGCCTCCCAAGCAGCTGAAACTATAGGCATGCACCACCACACCCAGTGAAATTATTTTTTAGTTGTTAGCAATTTTAAATATCCTCTTTTGTGAAATGCCTGTTGAAATCATTACTTATTTCTCTATTAGATCATCTGTCTTTTTGATGTGTGGAAATTCTTTACATATTCTGGATACAAGTTCTTTGTCATATATATTGTTAATATTATTTCCTCAATCTATGGCATGGCTCTTCACTCTTTTTATGGCTTTTAGCTTTAATGCAACACGAGTTTTTTTTATACTTAATGATTTTTATGTCATGTTTATAAAATTCTTGCCTAACCCAAAATCATAGAGAATTTTCTTTTTCCTGAAAGCGCACATGTGTAAGTTTTCACATTTAGATCTACAATCAGTCTGAAAGAATTTGGGGGGAATGATGCTAAATAGAGGTCAAGTTTTGATTTTCCTTTTCCATATAGATATTCATTTAGGTGCGGGGTGATGTTACTTTCCTACACATAGGGATTGTCTTACCTTCTGGTTGTTTGATAGAGTTGGGGAAGTTCTCATCAGTTAAACGGGGCTGAGCTGATCTACAATTCATCTTCCATTTTGCGTGTCTCCTTCAACCTCTGGTTTGTTCCCTCTCCATGGCTGAAATATCCAAGGGTCCTAACTAAGGTTGTTTCCCAAGACCCTTTATCACAGTGTAATTTACTCTTTTCAGTGCACAGTTCTGCAAGTATTAACAAGTGCACATAGTTAAATAACAACCACCATGAATAAGATGTAGCACAGCTCTGTCACTCCAGAATGGTCCTTCCGTCTTGCACTTAAAGTTTTTTCTACTCAGCTCCACAAGACTACTAAGACTCTGCTCTGTTTCTCAGAAATGTTCTACTTAGTTTCTCTCTTGTGTGCTCTTGTTCCTTGTATCTTAAGTACACCAAATTCCTTGAGGGGGAAATCACTGAATGTGAGATTACTTTTCCAGGCCTTCCTTCTGTCCAAGATGTTGGCCCCTCAAATCCCAGTTACCACAGCAGCTCTGGGATACCTCCAAACTGATTTTGGTTTTGTGGAACATTGTCCAGAGTTTCTAGTTGTTCTCAATGAAAGCGCTGGACTGCCACAAGCTATTCCATTTAGGCAGATACTTAAGTCAGTCTAGCTACATTCCACAAACTCATCAACAATCTCCTCCAACACATTTAAAGAAAACTGTTTTATAGAACTCAAAAAGGTAAAAGAAAGTGTCAATGTTGGCAGCTATGGCTGCCCCATGTATCCAGTCATGGAAGGAGCTTTAGAATAAAACAAATCTGGGTTTTAATTCCAACTTGGTCATTTATTAACTATGTGACAATAAATCTTACTTCCAAATGGGAAAAATAAAAACCAACTAGTTTCACAGTTTTCTTGTGAAGACTAAATGAAAGAACAGATATCAAGTACCTTGCAAATAGTAGGTATTTAATAAATTATAGATATTATTATGTAATATATTATCATTTCCCTTAGAGCTATAAAATACATTCATCTCTTAGAAATAATAGAGAAGGGGCAGGGGTAGGTGGACTTGAAAACAATACTCTTCTCTGAGCACCCTGTTAGATGCTGACAAGGGGAAACTTGGTTGAAATTGTTTTATTCAAAACTATAACAAGGTCGTTCACATACACAACACATTTTTTTTCATGGAAAGATGGTAGAAAGAAACCATCTGAATTGGAGTACAAATCTATTCCAAATGCTACATGTTACAGATGAAGGAATTGAGTGGTTAAATTACTTGTTCAAGGTCAATTCACTTGTTAGTATTTATTTAAATGACCCAAATTCTCTAGTATCATATATTTCTTTCCTTCTAACATACTCATAGCTCCCATACTCAATATAAATGTAAAGCAGAGACAACTAATAATTTTTTATTATTACTGGCTCATTCTGACTAAAACCCATCAATCTATTTTTAAATATTTTAATTTCCATCCCCACAAATTATGTGACTTCCTGCCAACTATTATTGAAATAGCTACTCACCATTCCTTTCCCATTTTAAGGGTTATATCCTGTAGCTTTTCATTTTTCCATCTGTAATTAAGAAATGGTCTGCCTTATCCTCTAACGTATGAAAGGAGCTCATGCAAGCCTGTAGAACACAGCTCTCTTGAAGTCTACCAAGCGAAAAAGGGAGTGAGGAACCTCCATCCTCTGGGCACTGCAAACAAAGGTGACCATATGCTTCCCTGGCACTTTCATCTCTGGGCAGGGACAGACTCTCATGCTTTCCAGCAAAGGCAGCCCTGTGGGGATCATTTTTTGGTAAGACCCTCTGCCCAGCACATCTTTCAGCATTGTGTATTCTACAAACAGATATATGAGCTTGAATCTCACATGGCCCAAGTAACTTGGAAGAGTTTAATGGTCCCAGAGCATGCAGCCATCTCAGAAAAGCCTCACACCAGGCTTTCTCCAGGGCTCTGCCTGAAACATGCTTTCCTCAGATCTTTACATGGGGGACTCCTTCCTAGAAATGTATTTTTAGTCTAGATGTCTCCTTTTCAGAGACTGTTCCTCACCATCCAACCTCCAGGGACCCTCAGTGGCCCTGTTCACTTCCTGCTGATTCTTTATTTGCTCACTATCAGAAATGCATGTTTGTACTCCAGCACAGTGTAAGCTCCATGGAAACAGAGTCCTCATGCATCATCATGTGCCCTGTCCTGGAGCAGAGGACTCACTCAATGGACAAGCAAATGTGCTCCTGTATCGACCAGATACACCCAGCATGGTGGGTCAGGCTCTGGCTTTGAATACTGGCCTCACCACTAGCTGGGTGAATTCAGGCAAATGACTTAAGCCAAGAAACTTCTCAATGCCTATTCTAAGATAAGAATATCTATCTTACAAGGTTATTACAGTCATCAAATGAAATAATGTGTGCAACGTATGTCCATTGCAGCACTGTTCACCATAGCAAAGACTTGAAACCAACCTAAATGCCCATCAATGATTGACTGGATAAAGAAAATGTGACACATATATACCATGGAATACTATGCAGCCATAAAAAAATGAGTTCATGTCCTTTGTAGGGACATGGATGAAGCTGAAAACCATCATTCTCAGTAAACTTAAGAACAGAAAACCAAACACCGCATGTTTTCTCTCATAAGTGGGAGTTGAACAATGAGAATTCATGGGCACAGGGAGGAGAACATCACACACTGGGGCCTGCCAGAGGGGTGGAGGGGGTGCTAGGGGAGGGATAGCATTAGGAGAAATACCTAACATAGATGACAGGTTGATGGGTGCAGCAAACCACCACGGCACGTGTATACCTATGTAACAAACCTGCACGTTCTGCATATGTATCCCCGAACTCTTAAAGTATTAAAAAAAAAAAAAAGAAAAGAAATAATGTGTGCAATGTGCTTAGCACAGGGCCTGACACTGAAAAATACTTAACAAACAATGCTATTATTTCCATAACAAAATCAAAGCATATTACGGAAAGGTCACTGAGGAATTGTTTCATAAAAATGATACTGTTGAAATCAGATACCCTAATTCAACCATGTAAGATAAAATTTTAAATTAATTAAAATCTAGCTCTTCTTGTTAGCTATTTACAATTATTTATTTTTATAAAGGATCTCTAATTTAACCTTTGCAATGATTCTCTGTTGAAATAAGTTACATCACCCTCCCCTCTTCCCCCACCACCAGCCTCTTTGTATCCATTTGGGAAATGCCATCTTTCTGAGAATACTTGCAGTAGAAATTTTAACGTAGGATATTAACCATCTCCTGTAAATATGTGCTAGCAATGTTTTTCTATTTGCTTAATCTAAAAAGATGCTAGTTACAGTTTTTCATGCGACTCAATGACTTTAGAGTTCTAAGAAAATCACTATTCTTAGAGGACTAGAAATCTGATCAAGAGAGAAGAAATTACTTCTTTCTATTTATTATACCTTGGTTCTCCTATAGTAAATGTTTTCACGTAAAACTCATTTCTCCCCATGCCTGAGGAGATGGTTAAATCAAAGGAGCAATTACTAGTGCCTGGCTGTTTGCCACTGGCTGCGATGGGGACTCGGGAGGAAGACAGGCTCATTTGCCTAACAGAGCCCAGCTCCCTTCCCGTCTTCCTTCATCTTGGGCCTTTTCCTTCCTTACTACCTCCGGTCTAGACTCAGCTTTCCCTGCTGCAGAGACCTTTGGCAACTGTTTCTGAGCCAGGGCAGCCAGCATGTGTGTGTCGGGCACTGCATTAAAAGCTATGGCTTAAAGGGCTAAAGTGAGGAATAGTTCACCCGGGCGTCTATTGAAGTTGCAAGGTAACTGATGTGAGAGAAAGATCTTAAAACAGGGAGTAAGAGCTTTAGCAACTCTCTGACCCTTAGACCCTAAATCTGAAAATAGAAAGGAAAGAGATTATCTGAAGACAAAACTCTACTGTTAGTCAACCTGCCATTCATGTGATATTTTCTTTTGAAAGTCTTTCTGTCTTTATCTCACTGACAAGGTAGTTCATGGACATACACAGACGATATACACCAAAAAGGTTTTCCACTTAAAACATTTTCTTCCTTCAGTTTCCCTTTATTCATTCTCAAATTTTAAGATAAAAATACCAAGGAGATTGGGAGTAGCGAATAGGAAACTTGGCAATTAGATACTGTCCCTGCCAGAGGGTTTGTCTTAACTATACCTCCTTCTCCAGAATAATTTATTCAGAATAATTCTGAGATGGACTCTGTAATAATTGTATTTATTTTCCTTAAAATACAAATGCACAATAGCTATTTCTACTCCTCCCTTATTTCTCCCTTTAGATTCTAACAACAGCACTTGAGGAAAAAATGATATTTGAAAATATATAGTCTGTATTAACCAAAATTCATTCAACTTAATTATGCTTCCATCCTTCTTTTATTCCAGGTATCATTGGAACATTTCAAGATCATCAAATCCAATTCCGTAGGGACTGGTGATCAACCAGAAGGCTCAGACATCTGATTGCTGACCTGTGAGTAAAGTTTATGTTTAATTAATACTTTGGATTCCTTTCTTAGGAATTACATAGCCTCTGTGCCTCTCTGCCTGATATTCTAAATTCTTACATCTAAAGATGCACTGTGAGAACCAGGTTTTCTGCTGTGAACTTCCTACTTTACTTACCAGTTAATTAATCAGTTAGAATCTATCAAGTTTTGAAGGCTCTATCAAGTCTTGTATCCTGTTTTCTAGTCTGATTTTTTTGCTTTATTTTTAAATTTTTCCTGCAACATAATACCTTTCACAAAACAGTCCTGGATCAATAATGAAGTCTTCACTTCCTGTGAAACATGCTAGTGACTTGAATCAATAAAGACAACACAAGCCAGCCTTCCAAGGTGAATAAGCTCATCTTTGTGCAAACACTGGTGATTTCAGGAGCACTAAGAACCCCTCACTTTCAACCAAAGTCTCTCACCTGGGAGGAAAATTTATACCAGAACAGGGACCACCTCCAGAGGTGAAAGAGGGGATTTCCATTTTAGAGGATGGAGAAACGAAAGGACACTTCATTCATTCACAATTTTGCTGAGCTTGGCTCTGGTAGGTGGAAAAGTTCTTTCAGGAGTTTAGCACACCACTCAAGCAATTGTTGTTTCAAGATCCTATCTGCTGTCCCCATGCAAGTTTTCTCAGGCTACCATAGTGAAAACCCACAGACTGAGTGGCTTAAACAACAGAGGTTTCTTTTTTCGCTATTCTGGAGGCTGGAAGTCTGAGATCAAGGTGTTGGCATGGTGGATTTCTTGAGGCCCTTCTTGCAGATGATCACCTTCTCCCTGTGTCTCCACTTGGTTGTCTCTCCGGGCACACACCTGTCTGGTGCCTTTCTCTGTGCCCAAATTTCCTCTTCTTGTAAAAACATCAGTCATATTGGATCAGGCCCATCCTAAAGACCTCATTTTAACTTAATCACTCTTTAAAGAACTTATCTCCAAATACAGTTACATTCTGAGGTCCTGAAAGATAGGATTTCAACGTATGAATTTGGGGGAAATACCATTCAGCCCATACTGCTGCTGCCATCATTTTCTCTCTCTAATATGCTTGTTTTTTTGTTTCTTGCACATGGGCTTCCCTCTGATTCTCCCCTCCTGAACCCCCTTAGCGATTACGTTACTCTCAGAGCATTTGCAGTTCCGACGGTGTATTATAGTCATTTGTGTACAGCTTTCATTTCCCTGTGACACTCTATACATTCTGAAATCAGAAAGTGTGCCTTCTACAACTCTCATAGCACTGGAGGAGATTTTGTATACAGTAGACATTTTGTAATATTTATTAAATGAATGAATGAATGGATGGAAGGAGGATTAGATGTAGCCTCTGAACCTATAATTTATTTGCTTTAAGACTGTCTCCAAATGTTGAGTACTAAAGGTGCTTTCTCCTCACTTGCTGTTCCCAAAGACAGGTAGAAATAAGTAAAGGCTGAGGAGAAACATTGAAAGAAACATACGATTGACTAATAGCAAGAGAGTCACCTTTTTCCCAAAGAGGTAGGAAACAGTAAATAGCACGAGCATGCCCCAGTTATGGTGGCCTTTCCATGAGAATACTATTTGGGGATCCAAATGGGACTTACTAATTTGAAGCATGTGGGGCGTGCAAAGTCATGTGTCTAGAAAACAATGCATATGCAGGTTGGCAGGTCCGGTGAGAACTAGAGAGACACTCACAGTCACCACCTACAGGCAGGAAGTAGCAGTGCATCAGTGGATGAGGCCACCAAGGAAGACTGTAGAGGGAGAGGAGCAGTGGCTTACAGATTCCATCAGAAATTATATATGGAAAGTTTTCCTGGTAGATAACAGGAGAAGGACCTGTCCACGAGAAAGAACACTACATGCTACTTCTAATGAAGGTGTGTGAGAACATGTAGATGAGCTAATGTGTCTATTTTTTCTCCTTTTGTATTTTTGGATGTATTTTGTACCTTCTCTGTCCTGTTTTTTGGGCTGTACCTCAGACCATTCCTGTGGGGCTAGCCCTACCCACCTTTGCTCCCTTCTAGCTAAATCCCCCCATGGTCATTGTCTGACTCCCCTGCTGCCTGCCCAGGGGATCTTGGACAACCTTCCTTTGGGCCCATTTTCCTCATCAGCCAATCAGAGCTGATCAGAATGGATAGCAGGGGAGGCCAGGATGAGAATCCTTAATGACCAAAGAGACAGTTTGAAGTAAAGGCTCCAGATAGGGTTGGAAGCCTATACCTCTTTTGCCCTGAATACCCTCCTTAGTCCATTGTCCCCTGCTCATTGTCCCACTCCACATGTACCCCAGAATAAGCTTTGGCAGTATTTTAGGGTTTTCTTGCCAGACCAGAAGTCACCTGCTAGAGAGTGGAGGGGCCAGGCCATGGCCTCTGGCATGACCAGCCACCCCTCTCTAGGCCTCACCATCAAATGTCATTTCTCATGAGGCCACACTTACCCCTGGGCTGAATTTCCCTAATTAGCTCTGCTAGCATGATGCAAATAAAAGGGGTAGAGATATTTATTCATCTCTCTTTTATTTTCCAAAGTGTTATTTCTTTTAAGTTCTCTCCTTGCTTTCAATTTATTTTTTTTACCGTCTCCCGTAGCTCTCTTTCCTTAGTAGAAACCCTTGATCTTCAGGGTGATTTTCTGATTATTAGCAGAAGAGGCTATCAGAGGTCTGGAAGCCACCTCCTGCTTTTCTTTATTCTTTATTCCCTTACCCCACCCAAATTTTTTTTAATGTACGTTGAGATACCAGCTTTCTTCAAGAACCTACTTCCATACTTTCTTCTTTGTGTTCTTGGAGTAGCCAGGAAAAAGATGCCCGTTTTCTTGAAGCTGCCCAAAATGTCAATGACACGTGGGTCAGTGATTGTATGCAAATTGCTATTTATATCAAATGAGAAATGTTGAAAGCAAGAGGAAACCCTTTGCAATCCATGAATGGCCTAGCTGGGGTGTTCCAGTGAATGATGGCCAGTGGCCAAAATAGGTGCCTCCCGACTGTGTTTCATTAATTTCAGTCAGCTCATGGGCTTGGAGAGAAAGATCATTTTCCTATGAGCGTGTAAAAGAAGTGCTTTGAGTTGTAAGCACCTCGAAGGCTTTGCCCTTGTTTTTAAATGGGAGATTTTATAACCACTGTGGAACAATATTTTTGGAGTCAGCTGAAGCTCCAGGTGGAGTGAAAAGAGAAGTTTGGGTTTTTATTTTCTTCTTCTTCTTCTTTCCTTGAGTTTTGCAGAATGAGCCTCCTTAGAAACACTTGACAAAGTCCTTAGTCTCCTTTGGTTCAGGTGGGCCCAAGCCTTTTATAGAAGGATCTGAAGGGAGCTTTCTTAAACTAAGAGTCTTTCCTGTGGGTTTTTGGTAGTGACTGTAGAAGTAGTCTCATATGGGAGAAGGTCTGGAATCCATTCCCTTCCCTGGGAGTCTCCTCTCAAGGAGACTGCTCTCAGGGTCCTTGTCATGAGATATGAGAAGAAAAATCCACAGTGAGCCTGGGCATAGTCAAGATTTGGTTAAGAATGGGGAGGACACGAGGTCACAGATTCTATGGGACTCCCAGCACTCTGGAAACCTTCATAGTAAAGAGGATAGAAGACACTCCAACATCACCACGTGCAGCTTTAGTAACCTTGCCCAGATAAATGTGTTTCCCTGGCCAGGGAATTGCACCTGGTTTTAAGAGGCCCCTCCATGAAGATACCCCTTCCTGCCTGGCATGATCATTGACAGACAAAGACTGTGCTGAGAAGGGGGACAGAGCAGGGAGAAACACACACAGCAGTGCCAGGAACTCTTGTCTATAACTCCTTTCCAGGCTTTTGTTCTCATAAGCACGAGTGAGTACACAAGTAAAGAGGAAACAATGATCGTGCTGTTTAGCTTTGAACCACAAACTATCATGGCTTTCCTAAGATTCCAACTCTAGTAGGATTTGCACAGTTACAGGACACAGACTCAACTGCTTCTGAACTCTGCTTTGGGATGCTTAACAAGATTAAGTTGTGAACATCTCATGCCACTCTGAGCAGCAGTACTCAAATAGTACTTAAGCAGAACAAACAGTCTAGGGGAAAAAAAAAAAAAACCCTAAGACATTTTCCTTCCTACTATTCTCTGTATCCCAGGCTCAACTTAATGCCAAATTAAATCTATATATATATTTTTTAATTGACGTTTCCTAGAGGAAAAGGCAGAGCTGCGTTCCCTGAAACATATTTTAACCCAAACTTATTACTTGGGTTTTTTCTTTCCTCCTCCCTTTTGCTAATTCAAAACAAAATGTCCATCATCCACTCTAACACCAGCCTCTAAGAGCTAGAGACAAATGGAGTCTGAATAGCCACGCCAGTGTGGTACAAATGAGCTGTGATTTCAGGATACTGACTGTTTTGCTGACAGGGGAAAAGGGCAGTTGACTAGTTTAATATATTTGGCTGAAAACACTTTGCTAAAGAAGGCCAACATTAATATGGAATCCTGTTCTTTAATGACCAAATATGATCTATCATGGAAAGTGGCGTCCTGAGTTTGGGGGGAAAGCATGTTTATCATAGGCACAGAATGCAGACGAGAATGAATGCAAACACATGTTGAGCCCCTAAGGAGGAAGCTCTTCTAGGAGCATTTTCTCCAAGTTCCTCAAAGAATTCCTCTTACAAGTATATGCTATCATGATGATTTTGAATCTGATTTCATGACACAATTACAAAATTGATAGATATAAAGACATTTGCTATCATGAAAGACTCCGGGGATCTATCTAACTGTCTCCCATTACTGGTTAATGGTTTATAAATTTACAAATGCAGTTATAAGTTGGGGTTGATGAGGAAAGCCTGTGACCACCATTAGCACCTTCTTAAACGTGCACATTCAGTCACTCACTCATTTATTCTATAGATATCACTGGATTGGACCTTCTCCATCTCATGTGCCATATTAGGTCTGTGTTACATTTGCAAATCTTGTGTTCCTTACCATG